TGATGACGCAAACCTTCCCTATGATTGGCTGATGTGATTACTCCGGTTTTGGTTTTACGACAGTCGATCCAAGCTGCCCTAATTTGCGAATTTACATTAAGACTGAATTCAACGTTTTTTTCGAGTGGAAAACCATTTTTGTTTTGTTTTTTCTATTTTTCATATCCTAAGCTAAAGTAACTTTTCTTTATCTGTAATCTGTAATTAGCATCACTGCAATAAACAAACCCGTACAAGTCCGTCTGTAGCCTACGAGCAGATTCTCTTAATTAGCTTCGAGGACTCAAGCAACGCAAGCTGGTGAGAGGTCTGGAGGGGGTTTAGCGCTGATTATCAGTGCTAGACTCCCAGTAAACATTTCTCCGACTTGGCAGTCTCAAATCTTTATGCGGGCGAAGAAAAGCGTGTCCTTCAACGTTAGTGATAAGGGCCTGCTCGCAAGCTGGTCTGCTTATGGATACGAATTTTATCTTCTCGTGTAAATAGCATCTCTCGGAGTGAGCGAAGGGAAAGCATGGGAGATGTTACCAACACAAGAGTCTAAAAAACCGTACCCATGATAATTAAATAAGCTATGACGCGTTCCACTAAATTAACTGTCTATGTGGAATCACACAAAGGTTTTCTGCTCCATTGGCTAATTCTTCATTACAAACAGACCGGTTTGCGAAGACTCAGTAGACATATCTCGATCGAAACCGATACAAGAATCCCTTTTTTAATTACAGACTAAGGACAATAAAAAATGAAATTAATGTGCTCTTACCCATCATTCCGTAGTAAAGGACGATTAGCGACTGGAGGCGAATCGGTCCCAGGGTAACGTAGACAGCTCCAAAGCGAGCCCCGACGGAATGAAAATGCACTTATATGACTTATATCATCATAGCAGTCTGTCGGGGGCGGCAATGATTGTGTCATTTAGGTCTGGTCAGATTCCTCCGCGCAGCTCTGTCCTGTGCGACGTCCGAGCCGATATGAGTTGTTTTCTCACAGACCATTTCATGAAACTGCTTGCAAAGTATTTAAGCTATCTTTTGCTGGACTAGCAGCACATTCTTGGCAGATAGAGGCGTTATCAGTGGCAACGACAGGTCAAGACAAACTTCCGCCCCAGTATTTGTTGAAGTGACTGACCAGATGATAGGTTTTTTTATCTCTGCTCTTTGTGTAGTGCATGTCACAAAGCAAAAATCCAGTCTCACCCTGTGTAACTGGGAGTGGTCCACCACAAGCCTTAAGACAGATATTAAAATAATTTTGTTTTTAATTCTGTCAGGAAGCCCGGTTTCACCCTCCACGCTCTCTGAGGGGCGGGGTTGTCGGTTTACTGGCCGACTTCCCAACCGGTTTTCGTGGTTATCCAGTAGCAAGAAAACCAATGCCTCACCTTACTTATATTAGCCACAATAAAGGTAATCGCTTTTAAAAACATAATTACAGCCATTACAACGCCGCTGGTTACTAATATTAACACTTGGAATAGGGTATCACAAATATGATTGCTTCAAAAATCATATAAGGTTGCATAAACAATCACCGCCGAGACGCGCACCGGCAGAGCCTTATAATTTGTCTTTACCGACAAGCCGGGGATTTGGAAGCGGCTTTTCAGTTCATTACTGACACTAAGAATGAAAAAGAAAAAAAAAACAAACAAACAAACAAAAAGCAAAACAAAAAAAGTCAGAGGGAGGAACGTCGTTGAGGGACTGATAGTCTGTGTTAAGCGTCAACTGCCACAGATCTCAGCTAGCTTTACCAAGTCTTCTCGAAGACCGTAAACCGACAAAATATCAACCGCCGGAAATAATCATCGGAAACAAGTACATCCCATCAAAAATAATGACGAACATTTATGAAAATACACCAAGAATTATTAAACCAGTCACGAGATAAACTCTAGTGAAATAAATGACCCGACAGTAAAGAACGAGTCATCGATACTTTTCAAACGATTTTTGATGGTTTTACAAACTGTTTCAATATTTTATTTATTTCGCGCTAGTACTTAGCAACCGAGAGTTGCATTAAGAGCCCTACTCAAAGGTAAATAACACGTCTTTTAACAGATTTCAATTGAACTGATAAGAATAGCTTTAGGGAGAAAGTATAATGTATTCTCATTAAATTCTGTCCCGATCATTATACAAAAGGTTCCACGCGTAAAAAGTTATTCATTAACCATCATAGAAATTTTGAGAGGCCTGTGTAAACTCGCTTGGTTCAGTACCATTGTGTTTGCTCAGGAGTTTACTGGCCGAAATAAGCTTTGAGGTTAAACGAACGTGAATCAGATAACTTGGTATATTCAGGAGTATAGTGGCAAGGACATCGACGATTTTTATGCGACAGTCACATGCAAAGAATATTACTTGACCCGTGAACCCCGCTTTCCATTGCGCGAAAACTGATCAAAGAAAGCTTTTAGACTGTTTAAACTTTAAACGGGTTTATTTGAATTTACGAAGTGCTACGCAGAAGATTTTGACGCCACCTCATCACACTGAGTAAGAAGCTTAATGTCCTCGATTTGTGAGGTTAAATAGCTGAATACAGGAATTTATTTCGAAATGGAGACGGTGCGATCAAATAGCGAGGGGTATGCATTTGAGACAAACGATTCGGGGTCAAAAATTGACAGAATTAAGACCCAACAAAATCCGAAACGGAGCAAGATAAACAGTTTAACTCAGGAATTTCCTCGACGGAGAACAATCGCAAACAGCCCGTCCACTTCAAACGCAAAGAATGCAAGCTTTTCTGGGAAAAAGCGCTCAATGTTGAGGCGATTATCGCAATGCCCCCTCTCGCCATCAGTGGAATATACATCTGTTATGGAGGGCTTTAAAGCAAAGATAGCATCAGAACCCAGTAAGCCAATGGTTGCGTCGCCGCGGAAAAGAAATCGGGAAAAATCTTGTAATCATTCCGTTCAACAATCTAAAATTTCTTTTCTGAAACTACCGTCTGAGTTCGAGAGCATGTTAACTTTTGGCCCGCGACCGAGAGGAAACACTCTACCCACGCGACTCGGTGATGCAAGAGCCTCGGAAACTGGAAAACCTATAAGATCAGACTCTGATAAAAAAGTATTTGATGTTAAATTAGCCTGGCAAGGATCAAGGGATGATATTTTCATGACAGCAACAAAAGATAATCGAGAAAGCCATATGTCTGTGCTGGATCTTCCCCAAGGAAAATTGTCTTTGCATAAGCTGGACGATAAGGGCGAAGGCAAGATAGCGGAGTCTTTTCAAACTAATACAGTGCCTGGTAAGAGTGATAAAGGTGGTCGGAAGATACCACAGCGGAAAAAAGCGCAGGTTGATTTGCCAAAGATAGAGGAAAAAGATTCTACAGATCATGCTATTTCACAGATAAAACTAAGCGAAAGCGAAGTTGGCTCTGACAAACGACAAAATAGCCTTACAGCTGAACACACAGACGTCAAAACTCCAGCTTCGCCAAGCTTGTTAAAGGACCGACCGAGAAATGAGAAGGTGACAGCTACGTATGAAAAAAGGGAAAGAAGTTTTTCCAGCGGCTACTTCACCGGGATTAGAACAGACTCAACAAGAGCGAAAACAAAACTTTCTTGCTCCGTTTCATGGGATCCAAAGTTCGCCCATCGCACCTCTTCGGATGCAATGAGTCGTGTAACCATGGATCTGAACGATGAAGCCGCAAAATCGAAACACTCGAACGCGTTTGCGGCTGTAAGTCCCGCGACAAAACGCAAAACAAGCCAGCTAGCGATAACCCGCGCGAACTACAAACGCGTTGGGAACGCAACATTGAGTGCATCGAGGCTTCTTAAGATTCATTATCGAGAAAACGGAAATAAAAATATTATTACAGCGGAAGAAGAGAAAGAACTCGATGAATTATTCGAGGAAATGAAAGATTGTCGATACTTGAGGACAAGTGGTTCTGAAGAGATGAAAATATAAAGGTTAACTAAGGCAAATATCGTTATTTTTAATTGTGAAAACGAAGGAATATAGTGAAAACGACTTTTAATCGTTGCAATGAAGGAATTGCTTTTTGCAGATCGGTTCGATTATGAGATGTGAACATAGTAGAGTTTGAATAACAATCATTAATTTTGCTCAAGGGAAATTGGGTTAAAAGTTTATTTAAAGATGTCATAACCTATTCACTGAATTGATCGGGAGTATTTAGAGATATTTAACGAAAAGAAAATGGGCTTTGTTGCTTTCAAATATTCTGCAAGGCTGGATATTTGGAGAGCTCCTTTAAAAGAGCCTCTTAGAAACAAGTGAGTCCAATATCAAACTATTTTTATTTGAGCTTTGCAACAGAGTTTTGGATAAAGTTTGAGGTGATTAAAAAAGATTCAGGTTATTACTTTCTTTGACGCGTATTCGTTGTTTCAAGGGCCGCTTAACCCTACAAAGGCAGAAGAATATTAATTTGCGTGTTCTGAATGAACGGTATAAAGATATTAAAAATCTTTTATGTACACAAGGGTGTGAAAGTAATTCCCTGGGTGTCTCAGGGTGATAAAAGTTGAAAATGAGTCGTTATTTGCACAAGGCTGTTTGACAGCAGTAAAAATATCCATCGTTTAATTTTGCACATAGGTCTTCCTTTTCCGCAAAATCGTGATCAGTCGGTTGCGAAACAAGCGGTCAAGGTCCGTCCTAACCTCTCGCGGCTTTATTGCTCTTTTTCAAAACACACACAAGGCCGGCAGCTTCATAGGATAGATTCACTCAGGTGATTAAAGGCGGCCGTGACTTACGACACAAAATAAAAGGGAACGTGATCTTTGTTTCAAAACGGGATTGTGTTGCATGAACGCCATTTTCAGGGGTTTGTTAGATGTAATAAAATGCTTTGTTTTGTAGATAAAATTGATTTTCCTTGTGTTCTTGTCGTATCCGTTGTCGTTGCCAGTTTAGACAGAGTTAGTGTGGTTTGGTTTCCTACTTCTAAGAGGGAGAACACCCAGTAGTTTTTATTCAAATGCTAATGTTTGCTCCGATTACCCACCCTCCCCTCTCCTATTTTCCAATATCACTTAATGTCATCCGGGATCTTATTGCCACGAAATTTTCGCGCCAAATTTCTCCATGTGAGACAACTGATCGCAGCAAACCTTGATCAAGATGGACGTCGCTGATCGCACAACGGGAACTGCTCACGTCCGTGATGACCTTGCCGAGCGATCACAGAAGCTATTTCAAGACTTTCTTGAAGAGTAAGTGCTTTTATTATCCGTCAGATCAAAAAATGTATGTAATCTCAGGCAGATGCGCAGAAAATTGTATATTCGGTCGCATCTAGTAATGATACAATGGCGAAGCTGCTCACATGGTTCGATTGACACATTACAACCCTTTTTTTTAAGGGATTTTTTCGTTTTTTACCGAGTACATTTTTGTTAGCTCTCTTTGCTGATATAGAACACTTAAGAGCATCTTCGGAGGGTTCATCTCACCAGAATTGAAATAACTTTCAACTGAAATTAATGCAGCTCCGAGGAGCCTTCAGCTTGAATACCATTTATCGCTCCATCCGCCGTCAATTTATTTTTAAGTACGAAGTGGTAACGCAAAAATCCAAAGTTTCGAAAGTGCCATTTACTTACATCTAATTCTGAATTCCCTTCAACACATACTCCAGATTAAGTTATTTGATAGATAGTTCGGCTTGTCCTGAATCCTCGTTTCCTGAATACCTTAAATAAAATCTACACATGGTTGGTGCTTATAGCTTTAGATCTTCTATTGCGCCTGTCCTTTCTATTCCGAAAGAATCAGGAACATTTCAGCACTCGGCAGCAACTACTTTTAATAAGCTCCCTGTAGCTATTAGAAACATAACTGAGTACAATTCCTTCAGTCGTAGTGTGGAGACATCTTTTATGTAAGGAATTTTAAGCAGCAAACTCAATTGTAAATTTTTTGTTCTTTTTTTAAATATTATATGTATATTCTTCTTTTTTAGAGTTGATTTATAGTGTAGATATAGTAGATGAAGAACCTCACTTTGTTGGATACTCTGCAATAAATCATCATCATTATTATTATTAATATTATTATTGTCCATATCGACTCTCTAAATTGTTCCAAATTATTTTCAAGGGAAATAATTGAATCATCATAAAGTTGAATGGTCTGTAAAGGGTCGCTCAACAGGAAGAATCAGTAAAAGTATGAAGGCTTTGCTTCTTTACAAACATGAGATCTGTTATGATGTTTACTTCTTAAGTTATGTATACTTTTACTTGATAATATCTCTAAAGATTTCAAGTTGATGGAGAAGTGAAATATCTTCCTGAAGTTCAAGAACTTATCAGACCTGAGCGTAACACATTAACAGTCAGTTATCAAGATGTGGAGTCTTACAATGCACAATTGTCAACTTTAATTCAGGAAGAATATTACAGGTAACCTCATTTTTGAGAGACATTATTTTTGTTGGCATTCTAGACCTTACATCACATGGTCAAGTTTCAAGCCCTTAGTAAGTCATTGAGATGTGTGATTTTGGAGAGATACCCCCAACTCTGTCAGTACCTCTCTCTGTCCCTACAGGAATATAAATTGATAACAGTGGTTATCATTTGACCAGTGCTTTTTTCCTTCCTCCTTTGCACTCACCTTTCATAGGGCCAGATGTTTTCCTGGCTGTACTTGTGCCATCACATATGGCTCTGGATTATATTTTGCAGTGTTTTTCAATGACATATATAGGAAAATACAGACCATGCAATAAAAAGCTATAGTTCACCATAGGTAAAATTACAAATTTGTCTTTTTTTCCCCAGGGTATTTCCCTATCTTTGTCGAGCTGTTAGAAACTTTGCCAGAGACAGAGGTCAAGTGCCACCAACAAAAGAGTTTTATGTCAGCTTCACAGATCTACCAACAAGACACAAGTAAGACTTTATTTTACCAGATGTTTAAATAATATTTCATGGTTGATATGTTTATTTCTTCTCAGTGCCTTTTCGCTTGAAAATTTATCAATATTGTTAGGGGAGAATCCTTCTCAGTCATTCACAAGAGAAAAATGTCCACATAAAGTTTGTAAACAATGATAAAAATGTTCTTTATGTGTACGATTTATTTTTGCATTGCTTGATTTAATTGTAGGATTCGAGAACTCACCAGTCAGAAAATTGGAACATTACTTCGAATTAGTGGACAAGTTGTACGTACTCACCCTGTACACCCTGAGTTAGTGAGTGGAACATTCATTTGCCTTGATTGCCAGACTGTTATCAAGGATGTTGAGCAACAATTTAAATATACTCAGGTATGTGTTTGGTGCTTTGCCTTCTTATTGAATAGGCCATTTCCAAATTACCTTGCCTCTTGCCATGAAAAGATGAGCACTAGGACTTGCTTCGAAAATGAGGCCAAAGGTGATTCAGAAATGGACTACTGACTAAGTAATTCACTCTGTTAGAGCTTATATATCCCTGTTTTGTCAGCATAAAGGTAATAAACATATTGCTGCTGCCTCAATGAGATGCACGTTTGTTCCAGGGTTAACACTGTATTTTATCAGCTTTCCCTAACAGGCTGTTGGTACCCATTATAACATCTGAGTTTAGAGAGGTGCTTTGAGGGTAAAAGGTCTTAGTTAAAAACCCAACACAATGACCCGGCCAAGTCTTGAACCAGGATTTCTCAATCTGCATTTCAGCTTGTTAGCTGCTCGGCCAATACATCTGTTAGTGAAATATTTTTTACTGAAATATACTCTTGGTTCTCTTTGACTACCATTTTTACAGTTGGTTTTTTTTTTTTTGTGTACTCACGTTGATTTTTAACCCTATACCCTAACATTAGCACGCACATTCGCCTTACTGTTCTCTATACATTTTCTGTTAACTGATAAAGAGAATTTGTTTAACAATCAAAACTTTCAATTAATGATTATTTCCTCCCTTCTCATGACCTTAATGTTTGACACAGGGGTGATGTTATTGGGAGAAATTAGATGCTAATCACACCCAGGGATCTTAGGGTTAAGGAATACTTGAACTTGTTTTTTATTGTGTTCTGATGTTTTGCTTTGATTGGCAGCCCACAGTTTGCCGCAATCCAGTTTGTCAGAACAGGGCAAGATTTATGCTGGACATAAACAAGTCGCGCTATGTGGATTTTCAAAAAGTGCGTATACAAGAAACACAGGCAGAATTACCAAGGGGAAGCATTCCTAGAAGGTAGGTTACTACTGACATTCATTTTTAAATCCTGCACTATAAGCTTTATCATTTATTGCACTAACAGTCTCTTCTGATATGGATTTTAAGATTTAGACAGGGTATGCTTGGTCTTTTTCAGGCCAAGAGGTACATTTGGGTTGATCCAATCTATCACAACCAAATAATATTTTTCATCATGAGACAGATAATCTGTAGACTTGGGGCTCATACTGTGTTCTTCAATAAAACACTTAACTTTTAATACCTATCTCCACCCAGTGAATTACCACAAACCTTTTCAGCAATTTTGACAGAAAGGTTTTTGCGTGCAAGAATTTGGTGCAAGGGCTCAGAGTTTTGGAACAGAATTTTGATGTAAACTTGGTAAACTTTTTTTTCAGTGTGGAAGTAATTTTAAGAGCTGAAGCAGTAGAACAAGCTCAGGCTGGTGATAAGTGTGACTTCACTGGAAGCCTAATTGTGGTTCCTGATGTAGCACAAATTTCTACACCAGGTAAAATGCCTGCATTACATAAAGGGACACAGAATAGTATGGAAACTCATAAAACCACATGACTTTGTACCATTTGCTGTGACAAACTCAATGCTCAAAACATCAGCTTTAGGAAATATTTTTGGTGGCCAATTTACATTATCAACTCAGTTGATAAACCAAATATCTTATACCCTCCACTGATGTAGTACTTTAGTTTAATTCTCAAGAAACTTATAATAATTATTGAGGTCATTATGTAATTTTGTACTCTTGTGTTCTAAGGGGCGAGAGCAGAATCATCTGGAAGACAAACATCTGGTGAAGGATACGAAGCAGAGGGAGTGAGGTGATAGAAAAAAAAAACTATCTCAGTTTTCCTCACTTTCAATGACAGGGTTGCATATTCATGCATGGCTTTGGTGTTTGCCTGTCCTTGAAAGGTTTCTCAGTTGTTCGTTGAAACTTGCAGTTATCTTTTTATTTTCTTTTTAGGGGGCTCAAGGCTCTTGGAGTTCGAGATTTGACCTACAGATTGGCTTTTCTTGCCTGTAGTGTCCAAGCAACAAACCCAAGAGTACGTCATTTTTGTTATTACTTTTGTTTTGCAAATTGCATTCATTTCAGGAAGCCTCAAAATACCAGCCTAAAAAATGAAGATTTAGGACTGTATGGGCTCCAGTTATGTAAATCTCTTATTTGCTCTGCTTGAAAATTGTATTTATGTTGTAAGTAGATATCATTTTTTGGTCACTTTTGGGAGTGTGATGACTAAATTTTTTCTTTTTTCTACCAGTTTGGAGGCAAAGACCTTGATGGTGATGATGTTACAGCAGAGACAATTAAAAAGCAGATGACAGATCAGGAATGGCAAAAGATTTATCAGATGAGCAAGGATAAAAATCTTTACCAGAACTTAATCAACAGCATCTTTCCAACTATTCATGGTTGGTATATTTTTTCTGAACTAGACTTAAAATGTTACACTGTACAAGTCAGAACCCCTTACAGCCACTTTTCCTTTCCTTGAAATGGTATTTTACATTCACATTCATTTTGTCAGTTCAACTTGCATCTGCCTTAAATTTTTACAAATCTTTCCCTAGAAGAAGTTGCCTTAAAAATTTCTTACTGAAAAAAAAAATTCAAAATTTTTATTCTCCTCAGCTCAATTAACGATGATTAAACTTTAATTGTATACAAGCTCTTGTTGTTGGCCTGTGAATTTGCTAATACAAAGCTTGCTTAATGTAGGAAATGATGAGGTCAAACGTGGAGTGCTCCTGATGCTGTTTGGTGGAGTTCCAAAAATCACATTGGAAAAAACAAATCTGCGTGGTGATATCAACGTCTGTATTGTTGGAGATCCCAGCACAGCAAAAAGCCAAATACTCAAGTATGTTAAGTTGGCAATATTTATTTTTTTTGTCTAAAAGTGCAATTTGATCAGGTGTCTTAAAACCAAAACCAATTAATTAATTGCAACAGCCAATCAGAAGGAGAGAAGGATTCTCAAGAAGTCAATGAGAATGCACCAGGAAAAAGAGGCAAACTGCTTAGAGAGCAGGAAAGTTTTGTATTAGTTTTGAATCTTATTGGTGGAGAGGATCGCTTGAGTTTTCTTGACCAATCACAGACCCATACTCAATTGAAAATTGCTTTTATCCCTTCCCTTTGTGTGATCCAAAAAAGATATGGCCCCCTGAAAGCCCAGCATAAACTTTGATGACCCTCCCCTATTTGGTTGCAGAAAAGGTAATGACTTTCTCCCTGTTTGCACCATCCCTCCTCCCTCTAATAAATGATGGGAGGAGTCCTGAGAGCTGGTGCTAGTGTGATCTGTTTATCCATTTATCATTTACCTGTCATTTATTAGAGGGAGGAGGAAACAGGAGGAGAGTCATCACTTTTTATGCAACCCAAAAATATTTTGACTTGCTCTTCCCCTCCCCTCTAATACATGACAGGTCACTTATTATGGGTAATGGTTCTTATTTGTGCTTTATTTATGGTAGGCATTTTGGATAAAGTTTTCTCTAAAAATGTTTTGATATTTTTCTTGATGACAGGCATATAGAGGAGTTTAGTGTCAGAGCTGTGTACACCTCTGGAAAGGCCTCCAGTGCTGCAGGTCTCACAGCTGCTGTGGTCAAGGATGAGGAGTCATCAGAATTTGTCATTGAAGCTGGTGCTTTGATGTTGGCTGATAATGTGAGTATTGAAATACAAGAAGGTAGCTACATGTAGGATATTTTCGAGGGGATCAAATTGTGTCTGACTGTCATTCTCACAATGCTCTGTTTCTTAACCCCTTTTACAGCCAAGAACTCATAAGTAATTGTCCTTACTGTCTTCAGTAATGAAACTTAAAACTAGACACGGTAAACATAAGTTTGCATGTATGGGTAATTCAGAACTTTCTTTTTGTTGTTAATTACTTGAGTTGATGGTAAGGAAAATATTTTTTTTTGCACGATAGGGGGTGTGCTGCATTGATGAGTTTGATAAGATGGACCCTAAGGATC